CAGAAGAGTTGGGAGTGAAGTTGAGCTGAGGAAGAAGGTGGGTTCAGTTTTTATCTCTCACTATCTTACCCCAATATTGATTAACAATAAGTTAAATTCTTTTTCCCAAGTCAAGTCTGTTTTGCCTGTGACAGTAACTGATGAGTGGTCTCTCTGTCCTTGTCTCCAGCCCTAAGCTTTTTCATTGTGTTTTCTTCACCTGTCCTGCTGAGGAGGCAGAGTAAGAGAGCAGCTTGGTGGGTACTTGATGCCACCCAAGGTTAACCCATCTCACCCTGCTTAAAAAATTTGAGCAGGGAAGTCTAGGAATTCAGTTTCTCACAGGGCTCCCAACAAGACCTAACACAACTGCAGGCCATCAGCCAGAAACAGATCTGCATCAAATAGATCCTGTCAGTGACATTGCTCTTAACACATCTCATTTGATAACTTTAAAATGCTGTGCAAACAGCAACTAATCCTCTCACTCATGCAATATAAGCTTATCCTCAGAGACTTTAAGTAACCAACTCAGTCACACTACAGATGCAACACAAAGCAGAGCTCTAACCTTTGCTGTCACTGCCCACATGACAAACCCAAGTACAAGCCACAAACACATTTTAAAAGTCTGCATTTCCCGCTGATTGAGGTCAGGATCAGCGAGGTGAACTTCAGCCCCTGCAGAGTGCAAACTAAATTAAATGTGAACATCTCAACAGCAGAATCTGAGGCTTCCTAATTTAGAAACTCAGCTCCTTTACGAAGAGCGAGACAAACAGGAGCCTGAAGGGAAGGGGCTGTTTAATGATAGTTTATCCAATGTGGGAGGCAGTTGGCCTGCTTCCCAAGCTTTTTTCCTCCACCTCCCTGGCTCAGCGGAGACCTTCAGTGTTATGGAGATGCCAATCTGGCAGTCAAGGAGTACCTTTCATCACCTTTGAGAGCAATAATCCTTCTAAACCTTATCCCTCTGGTGGAAGGAGGAAGGGGATTGGCAGAGGTCACTAAAATTACCATTCAAGAGCAATAAAAAAGCAATGGGGAGATGAGGACTGTAATCGAAAGCCTGGAAAGGGCCAGAGCAAGGGGAAGAGAATTAATTTGTAGGCATGTTTGCTCCAGGGAAAGAATGGGGCCTCTTATTTTGGGGAAAGAGAGTAGGAAAATCTCATGTCCCAGAGGGCACACAATCATCTTGTCACGGAGGACGGTGGGTAGAGGAACAGAATGAATCAGGCTGAGGTAAGTTGTGGCTGCAAAGAGATGGAACAGTGCACAGTGAAGTCTTCGCTTCCCAGTCTGCTTGCTGGTATCACTACCCAGGAAAACTGGGATGGAAGGAGTAGACACATCACCTGACAACAAACCTGGCTGATACAGTCCCAGCAGAGGGTTGTAACCACAAGGTGGTAGATGCTACATGATGATTTTTCTTCCTGCTTGAGGTGAGTGAGGAAAAGAGAGGTAGGTGAAAAACCCCAGAAGAAACCAATCCTTCCCACCCCCACCAATTCTTTCCTGTTCTTTCCTCTTTCCCCTAGCAGTGCACCATGCCAACCCATGACTTCCACTCCATCACCATCTGCAACAATTCAGACACCAGTGTTCTAAATTACCCTCCACCCACACACCACGCAAGCTCCAAGTCAGAGCATGTTCAAGGGAAGATTATATAAGGAAAAGTCAGTGCCAGATTGCCAAGAGTCACATTTTTACAAGGCAAGAAGGTAGTGAACCAGACCAGCATGTACCCACAACCAGCAGCCTCTGCTAAAAGCAAACAGCAACAACAGTGCAAGTGCTACTTGAAGGGAATTCCTTGTCAAGACACTCACAGGTTCACAAACCTCAGTTCTCAGTCCACTTAGTTACAACTTACGTGTGCCTGCAGTTGGCAGGCACAGAGCAGCAGCAGAAACAGAGGTCAAATTGATCAGCAGGGTGTAGTTGGAAAGGGAGACAAAGTGAATTCCTTATAAGTCGTGGTACATACGGAATACCCCAACTCCTATATTTAATTTAAAAAAAAAAAGAGAGTCTGCAGTAATTTTTATCCAAGTTAACTAAAGAAATAACACTTCTGTCCTTTCAGTGGACAAAAGAAAGCTGCCAAATGGTTACAAACCTTGTTTACTACAAATGAAATCTTCCAAAATCTCCTTTTTTTAAAGGCTTTTACTATTTAGAAGTCAGAAATACTTTTTAGATTTTCGCCACCGTAACATTCAGACAGCCGGCATTGTCAGAGTGGCAAATTGTTTAAAGAAAAGATTTTAAAAAATACCTCAAGAAAACCTCCAAACTTGGCTACACCTACTTGAACCTCTAGTTAAGAGTCATTCTTTTCTTCCCTACCCAGATACATCTGCTGCAGACACTTACACAGCTGGTTTCAGTAATTTGATCCTTTCTCCCCATGTAGAGCAAGCGCCACAAAGCACCCACCAACATGACAGTCATGTTTGCTGGTGCAGAGGAACCACCAGTAGCCCAGCAGACCAGTGACACTGGCTCTGCAAAATAAGCAAATGCTATTTTCTATAGTGCCTTGCAGTCAGCAAGCAGACAATCAGTGCTGCCTGCCAAACATCCTGTCATTCTGACACTTCTGAGCCAGCACAGTTCCTGTTTTTGCCATGCAAAGTTATCTCAAGGGATGGTCACTATTTTTAGGGGCAACACTGGAAACTATGAAACTCAGCTCCAAATTGTGAGCTCACACACCTTAATGGAGGTGAAGATATTCCATCACACACTCACCATGTATTGACAATTAAAAAGGAGTTCAAAGCCTGTCTCTTCATTTACTTGAATTACAACCTGGCGAATAAAATACATAATGTTGCAAACCACAAAAACGTGGTTTGCTTCATTAGATCCACTACCTATTTTTAGTTAAAATGCTTGATCCTTCGTCTGCTGTTCTCACCACTTCTAAGGCACATCCAGGAATTTTTCCCTTGCCAATATTTGGGGGAAGCCTGACAAGCACAAGATTTAAACGCATAGGAACTCCATTGTAAAGCTAACCATCCCCTATTTTTCAATTTTCTTCCAGTATGAGATGTGTTGAAAAAGGTAAACACTTCAAGACTTTGTCAAAAGCATCTCTGAGGGGATTTGTGAGAATCTGAAGCTTTTAACAGTTCACTTACAAAGGAACAGTCTTTCATGTCTAATTCTGTAATTTCAATGCTTATTACAGAATATTCAGCTCCCCTTTTTGTCTCTGACTTGCCCCCACAGCTTTTGCACAGGCCAACAGGCTGCTTGTGTTACTCAAGGCAAATTACAGTGCTCAAAATATAATTAAAACTTATGCTATGAGGAAAGCCATCTACTAATTTGATGATTAAGCGTTTTCCATGTTTACAATAACTATAATCATAACCACTCCTGGACCTGGAATGGATAAATTTCACCAGTAAGTTAAAAAAAACCCACACAGCTTTGCTGTTTATCCACTGTTTCAAGAGCTTCAGTCCAGATACAGAGTGCTACAGTTATCAGTGATCTTGACGAAATAGCTAAGAGCAGATTCAGTCACAACTGGGCATTTTCAGATGAAGCCTATAAAAGGTTCCTGGTATTACAGCATGAATAAACACCAGAGTATTTTCAGGACATCCCTTCAGAATTTGGTGAACGTCTAAGACAACAGAAGTGTAAACACACCATTTTGCCTTTAATGCCACTGCTGGAGTGTCCTTACCACTCAAACTCAGGGTATTTATTTGGTTGTTACAAGTTCTGCTTCTCAGATTGTATCTTCTCCAACACTTACTGTCCAGCTTAAAATTTTGGCTTTGAACTCTCTTGTTGTCATAGGACATTTTATTTTACACAAGTGACATGTTCACTTCCTCTTGCTATTAGCAACTTACCATATATTTTAACCGGAGAGTTTAAAGCTTAAAAGACTAATTGCACAAAGTTCTCAATACCATCACTCTAAGTGCCACCTAGAGCTGACAGCTTGGGCAAGCTTGACACAAGGAACATCTGCAATTAGTACACTGTTAGAGATATGCAAGTGGTAATTATTGATCAATTAACATGAACCTGCAAATCAAATATGAATTTGAAATAAAACTCAATTAGTGCTTACTAATAGCAAATTCAAGACTTAATCATTCATCGACTTGGCTTCCTTCTTCACTCCCTTCCAGCTGGGTTACACCAGGTAAACTTTGCCATTCTGGGTCAAGTTTTTCCTGATATAAAGCCTTCTGAACACTTCACTGTTTACCAAGTTTCATTTCAGCCATTTAGATTTCACAAAGTCTCCATCATATTACCTGCTCCCAGCTGTCCACCCTCATCCACACTCACCTCCCCTGTCTTTTTACAACTGCTCAGTTGAGTCTTTGATTCATCCACTGCAACTCAGTTTTGCACTACTGTTGCACCTACTTTACTCCAAACTATAACACCTGACGTATTGAGGCAAAATTTCAGACACACAACATTTTGGCAATATCACTCTCAGGGCCACTGCTGCAGAAGTGACAGCAAGCACATGGCTCTAGCAAATGAGACCAGAACAAGTAACTCCCCAAAGCTCTGCAGCAAAGCTCAGCAGCTCAGTGTCTCCATAGTCAAGTAAAAGTGTTTTTCAGTACTACAGGGCCCACCCAGCAAAACCCCAAAGTCTCTAGGAGTTATTAAATTTGAACACCAGCAAGAGTTGTTGCTAACACTCTAACTAGATTCTACTGAGCATCTGAGCCATGTTGTAGTTAAACGCTGTAACATAGGTATTTAAGATATTCTGGAATATATAAAGCGGTATAAAATTGTTCTCTTAGTCTGAGCAGAGAGAATTCTGTGCACCAAATAGAAGCATGTTGGATTTCTTGGGCAAGCCTCCAGGTGTGACAAAACAACTTGTTTCTCCATTTAAAAGATTACAGCATGCACAGCTTTATAGAGGTTTTAGTACTGTATGGGATAAGTAACATAATTGAAGTACAATAAAATCTCAGGCAACATAAACCAGGAGGTCAGACACCACACAGTGTGTTGTATGCATTGTTTATTGAACTTCAAATTCCATGGTACATCACAGATTAAATAGTTAAAAACTGTTTACTATCATACAATGCTCAGAATAGTCTTTCAAAACATCCCTTTGAACAAAACTAAGAGCCAAATTCAAGCACAATTCCCCCAAAACAGTATGCTAGGGATGGAAGAAAGCTTCAGAGTACTGACCGTACACAACACTACACAAAGCACACCAGGTCATTGCTCTGTGCTGCCACACATGATTCAGAGAGCAGTTCTAGACAATGCTTACTACCATCATGGGCAGGCACCTACTTTATTAGTGGGGCAGAGTCTGCTCCCCCCAAGACTTTAGTACTCAAGAGCACAGACTTAAGAGTTGTGGGTTCTGTAAGGTTTAAAGTTACAGAGCTGAAACCAGACTTGGGTAAATTGACAAGGTCTTGCGCTTATGCTCTTCAACCCTGACACAGAGGATACTCTGAAGTTTTAGCCTGGTTGAGGTGGGAGACTAGTGCTTGAACTGCACTGCTCAACACTGCATTCTACTTGTGCCATCTTGCCTTAACTGAATATACAACTATCTATAACAAAATTCATCAAAAAGATAAATCAGTCAGCTGTAAACTGTTGGCAAGAATCATTCAATTATATATTTTTTTCTTCTATTTCAAGCATTTGTACAAGACACTGGAACCTAGAAGCATCAGCTTTAAATTTGTGCAATTTAAGAATTTCCTTCAGGAGGAGTTCAGTCATGTGACTAGAGGAAGGATCTCCCAACCTTGCCTGGAGCCATCAGTCGTAGCTCACCTCACGAGAAGGTTCCGAGCTAGAACGTCAAAAAAGCACCACAGTGCTAATTCCAAGCAAAGCCAAGACTTACAGTTCAAGATTTTCCTGCTGTATTACTGTTTCCATGTGCAACACAACTTACTGAGGAAGGTTCTCAAAGGCACCACTCCCAGCTGCAGCACGTACAGTGGTATTGATGCAAATGTTTACTTTGCTGCAAAGCAGTTGGATGTATTAGAGCTTCCCCAGAACCAAGTGTGAACAACATGGAAACATGTAAAACAGCAGGTTTAACCTCAGCAGCCCTTCTGAGTGATGTCTTGTCCCGAGGCCTTCGTAATATCCATCGTAGTGAACACCTGTAACAGATCAAAAGAACAGCTTGTTTACTGCTGCCTGCATTATCATCCACATGAAGATTGGTCTCCCCTTGTAAAGTAACAATACTACGTTTCTTTGAACTGTTACAACAGAAAACAGGTTGTAGTGCACAACTAACACATTTCCTATCACCTGTCAGTATCTTAGGAGTTAAGGTTAGGAGTTAAAAAAATACTAAATAAATCTCAAAATACAATGTAGTAGTCTTTCCTTGCATCTAAGTAAAGTCGTCTTCAACAGCAGGTTTTAAATCAAGCTGTGCCTTGCCCCTTCCTTACCTCTGCACAAGTAGGATGGATACCAATTGTTTCATCAAGCTGTTCTTTGGTGAGACCACATTTTATTGCAGCAGCAAAACCTTGGGTCACCTCACCAGCATTAGGCCCAAGAATATGAAGTCCTATCACACGATTCTTTACAACACATGAGAGGAAAACATGAGTTAGCACAAGACAAAGTGCAACAAAAGTTCTAGTGTGTAACTCCCACTACACTAGAAATGTGTGTTATGCAAGCAGGTCAACAGCAGAGTCTTTAACTACTTCAAACGAAGCAGATCTGCAGTGCTTTCCAGTCCACTGTAGCAGAATGAAACAAGTTTTAAAATGATTACTCAGTACTAATTCAAAGATACTGAGTAAAACTAAATACATTCTAGTTTTATAAGTTGTTTTTATGATTTATAGATATAGAGTATCTTTAGCACATTTAGATTTAATATTATTTTTCTATGTTGAAATTAGGTCAGATAGAGACTCTGTTTATACTGGTTGTTAAAAAATCTGATATTAGAGCTTTTACTGGCTGTTCCTCCCTCCCCAAGCAGTTAAGAGGAGAAAAAAAGAAAACACAGGGTTGAACGCTGTCTTTAAGCAGATCTAGAGTGATAGCAGTAGGCTACAAGTTAAAAATGGGTGTGGTTTGTTTCAATTTGTTTCCTTAATTGTTTATCAAGAGGGATACAAGCTGTGTTTTAAAACATTTTCCCAGGATGTTCCTACACCTTCAGATACCAGCAAGACACCAGGTGGCACAGTTACTCAAAACCCACTCGGAAGAAAAACTGGCAAATTTCTTCACAAATCTATCAAATAGGAATCCAGGATGAAGTTTCGTAATGTATAAAGCCACCACTTGCTCAAATAGCTGCTAAACAAAAAAACCCAAACCACCAAAAAATCCCATCCAAAACGCCAAACAAAACCATCAGCTCCCTCCACATTGGTTTGCCCTTCTGAAACAAATACTGATTTTAACAGACTGGGTAGAGCTGGCCTCAGGCAGGCCAAATAAAAGATCTTACTCTTTTGGCCTGTCTATAAAGATTTCAATACACTCAGCATATCCCTTCCAGCCTGCTACTTACATTGTCCTGTTTATTGCAGATAATCTTTGCATAACAGGTATTGTTATCTCTGCCTGGTACTGTCCATTCAAGTGGCCAGAACAAACTGTGATAAACCTGGGAGAATGACAAGAGCATTAGAATTTCACAAATTAATTCAGTCAGACGTAATTCTAATTTTTACTACCTTTATAAATAGGTGGTTTGACATTTACCCCACTAGATGTTTATTACTTAAACTAGACGGGACAGTGATTTCTGTTTCACCCAGCCCACAGAGGCCATCCTCCAAGAGTCAGCGGAAGACTTGACTCAAACCATGCATCCCTTTTTAAATACTTGATTAAACCAGCAATAAATACATAGCATTTAAGACTTTTAGAAAGAGAAGTGCAAAGTTAATATCCAGTCACTTTAAGTTTAAACCTATTCTGGAAAACAGTTAACAGCAGGGGCTAAATAATGCCAAGTGATTTCAAAGACATAAAGAGTTAAACACAAGGCATGCAAGCAGCTTTAATGAAACTCTCCAGGGAAATGCAGAAGCCAGAAATTACTGAAAAACATGGAAGGTATGCCCAACACTCTTACAGTCATATGATAAGGTCAGGAAAAAACTGATTCCCAATTCAAATACAGTGAACCAGCAGAAAATAGTCAGTTCACCTCAGGAGTTTGGTACACTTCAGCAGAAAGTCTTTGATTCATGACAACAAATAACAGTTTTGCAACTCAGGTTTGGCCCCCTGAGGTCAAATGCTTCTCAGCTGCCTGCAAACAGCTATGTGCAATTCTAACAGTATTAAGTCCAGTATCTCATTAGCCAGATGAAAACACTGCCAAAACAGTTCTACCTATCTTGCTAACCTTCTAATCTTGTCTTAACACTATGCCTTGAGAGTAAAGCAGCACGGCCCAAGAAAAACACTCTCAAGCTACAAGTTAAATGACTCTTGAGTGCTCCTACCTCCAAGTTTTGCTTTCCATATTCTTCTATGGCTCTTTCTTCAGGAAACCCACAGCTGCCATACTCTAAAGGAGTAAACACTGTCGTTGGTACGTTGATATAGTCACACTAAAAATAAAGAACCATATTTAGACTATACAAGTTCTATACATTTCACAACAGAAAGAGTTGTTTTAGCACTTTTTTTCTTTTTTACAAAACACTTGCAGAGCCCATAGACAAGTGGACAAATCAGCTCATGTTACTGCAGTTTTGAGGCAAAAATAGAAATAAGTTGAAGATGTATAGGTTCATAGCTTTACCTTTCTGGAACTACCCCCATACAGCCTGCGGGCCAGCAGTCTCCCTGCCTGAATGGCAACTGGGGTAAGTTCAAGCTTTCCCTCCAAGATATCCCCAATAGCATAAACGTAAGGCACATTGGTTTGTTCTTCATCATTTACAGGTACTTTACCATTCCTTTAAAACAAACAGAAGAGAACAAAATTCAGTTTCACAACCCTCCTCAGAGCTTGGCAAAAAAACAAAGGGGAGAAGCTCTGCTACAAAGGTGTTAGCCTAACTACTGAACATATTTTATTGAATATACTTATGCCTTTTTTTCACTTCAAAAAAAGTTTTAAAGGTTCACATAAATGCCAGGTATAACAGCATCTAAAAAATAAATAAATAATAATAAAAAAGACACAGCAGTACCACTAGGTCTTGTTCAACAGTTAAAAAATCCTTGCATTCAGTGGTTTAAGGGAGTTGAGCAATACTCACTTCTCATTGATTTTGACGCCAATCGTCTCTAAACCAATATTTCTGGTACACGCATCACGACCAATGGCTATCAAAACCTAAAAACAAAGCCCAAAATTAAATACAAGAACTTTATGCAAGAGAAGCATAACATAACACTTCCTTTGGTCTTCTACTGAAAAAAAACGAAGCACATGAATGAAGTAACTTTCTCAAACATTTTTTCAGAATTGACCAACATGCAACTTGCTTCAGAGATGCAACAAAACAGTACTTTCAAACAAAACCAGAAGCAACTGCTCATATGAACTGAATTCTAGGCACAAAGTTTTACCCATTCTGCTGATAGGGTTCAACTGAAGATGAATACTGAATTTTCAACATATTTTTTTACACCAGTAATTTAGATTTTTCAAGCAGAATTTCCCTTTAAAAGTTGTTCAAGAAAAAAGTACTTTATTCAGTTATTTCAAATCCAGAAATGCTTACAGTGTTGTATTCTCCTTCAAAGATTTCCTGTCCCTCAGTAGACTTTGCCGTCACTTTCAGCCTTCCCGGCATGCCTTGCTCCAGCTGCTCAACCTGTGCAAATTATTGTAAGATTAGAAGGACCCAAAGAGCAGAGATCATTTACACTGTCACTTCAAGCCTTGACCCACTAATCTATCACTCAACAGTAAAACAGCTTAGCCTCGTAAAACATTTATTTCTGCAGAGAACCAAAGCCTTCCCAGACAACACCTGCATTTTACATGTGCTGTTCAAAGTAACCTTGTGTGGAGAGAAGAAACCTAAAGAAAGCACTTGCCTGAACAGGTACAAACTTCCTGATGAACTTCACGCCGTGTGTTTCCATGTGAGCCCCTACTTTCTCAGCCATTTCTTGGTCAAAGCCCCGCAGAAGGATGGAACGCACCATCACCGTGACATCGAGGCCTAGACCAGCAAGAAATCCTGCACATTCCAGAGCCACATAGGAAGCACCCACAACTAGAGTTTTGCCAGGACAGTAAGGCAGGGAGAAGAGGTCATCGCTGGAAAGAAAAGAAGTGTAAGTTACAAGGTTCTTCCATCACAAGCTTGTTTGTCTTTGCAAACACTGGAGCAGACAAAGTTCAGTCTATTATACCTTGTTATCTCACCTTGTAATACAGAATTCTTTATCTCCAGGGATACCCAGATATCTAGGCCTTTCTCCTGTCGCCAGGACAAAAGTCTCTGCTGTGTGATAGGTTACTTGTCCTTTTCTATTAGTTGCCTATTGATAAAGACACAGTTAAGACAGTCTTTTTCATAGGTTTAAAAAAAAAATAAGAATCAAGAACAAGTGGTTTGAAACAAGATATAATACATTTAGAGATGCCACGCAGGTCACTGAAGAACAAGTTTAAACAACAGACTATCAGGCTTTTCTCACATTAGAGCACTTAAAATCACTTACTCTTTGAATCATGCCCATTTCAACTACTCATTTATATTGAACTATTTGTAACAACTTCACTTTCAGGTTATAAAAAGCCACAACCAATTAAGATCCTCTCTGCCCCCCATCCCAGCCAATAAAAGGCCAACACAAGACCAGTGGCAGAATAATATCAATTAGATCTTAGGCTAATGTGGAAATTAAAAAATTAAACTAGTTGCATGATTTCAGGGAGCCTAAGATCCAACCTTAAGTGAATTCAAACTAATTTAACCTCTAGAGACCCTTGGTCTTTCTCTCCCAAAATCTCACCTTCATTCTGGCTCTAGTTGGAAGATACCAACACAGATAAAGGGAAACTTCCCCCCCACATTGAGTCAGCAGATAATTCAGGTTGGAAAAGATCTCAGGAGGTCATTGAGTCCAACCTCCTGCTGGACATCTTTCTGTTGTACTTTATTTATTGACTAAGGTCATGCAAATAGATGACCTGCATGCCTGGACACTACAACGGTTGGTACATGAGGTAAGTTGAACACACTACTATCTTTCACTGCTGGTCTCTGGGTTTGAAACACATGTAGTTCACCCTTCATATTGAAAACAGACAATTACACCCACTGAGCGCTACAGTTGCCTTCAACATGCACTTTTCTAGGTTAACCTTGCTACAGTATGATCACTTACAGCAAGATTGTCAGCACATGCTTTGTCTTGCAAAACTGACAGTTTAATTTGTATGCTGATACAGCATAAGGTTCCAGCAGTGCTGTTACGCAAGTGCTAAATCTGAATTTAATTTCAATAGTTTTTTGCTTTAGTATGAAGGTTTTCAAAGTTGAAACCATCCAGCTAAAGCTTTTCTTTTTTTTTTTTTTTCCCCTCCTCACTCAGGCTGCTGAACTCAGTCATGAAGTTAGAGACTGAGACCATCTTACTCTACTCTATTCACAGGTTTACAGATATCCACATTACTCTTATGTAACAGTTACTAGGTTTGCAGACACCGTGGAATGTACTAAAGTACAATGATTATTTCAATCAATAACTTATTTCACAAATGAGTTTTTAACTTCAGTTGACCTAAGCTGGCAATATTAAGACAAAGCCTTTTCTGTGCTGGATTTGAAAAGGCAGTTTTAGAACACGAGTTTTCCCTCCCAACCAAGCCTTTTAAATGCGGTGCATACCTTAATTTTGTGTGGTTCGACGAATTCTCCATAAGAATTGAGGTATGTCACAGACTTTTCTCTCAAGGACACTCGATAGCCCCAGTTTAAAGAACCAATGTAGTTCTGAATTGCTTCTACCATGACCTCCCAGTTGTGTTTAACTGAAATAAGACATTATTTTCATATTTAAAGAAATAAAAGTGCAATGGACCCTTTAAAAAACCCTTATTTGCTATACATCATGCTAAGAAAACATCATTATCAATAATGAGGATTATTAGTAAGGTCTTGTTCAACTATGCTAATATTTACTTGACTTGTTACTATCTGAAATAAGCCCATTCTAGAAGTTCTTTCATTTATTTCAGATAATATAGGGAGCAAAACACAATTAACTTTCAACCCTGAAGGTTTTTATGACTCAAGAAGGAGGATGCCTTCTGATTCACCTAAGAAAACTACTGAACTCTGCTTCTAATTTACTGAGTCCAAAGTGCAAGAACAGTCTTGAGCTCAGCATCTCATCTGTACGGTCTTAGGCTGTCCTCCCTGTTCTTACTAACCTTGTTCTTCATACTGCCACCCATATTTCCTTGAATCTTGGAGTGCCTGGCCCAGAAGTGCTGCTTGATGCATTAGCTTCTTAGGAATGCAACCTACATTCACACATGTGCCACCAAGTCCTACGATGGAAAGAACCACTTATTATTTCCATAAACAAAACATTTATGCTTTTCCTATTATGTACTTTATATAATTACCCATATATCAGTTGGTAAAGTTTGCTGTAGTCAGGCAAGTAACATGAAACTTCTGTTGCAAGAGACATTTTAAAATACAGTGAAGACACTAAGCTTGTAAGTTTGTATTCAGTTTAAGAAGCGAGTAGACTCACTGAACCAAGATGGAGTGTATCTTAAACACAGACTCAGGTTATTTATTCCACAGCGTTTAAGATTTTGGTCAGGTTGGCAAGTAAGCAAGGCAAAAAGCCCAGAGTTCCTAGAGTTTAGTATCACCTACTATGAGAGATTTGAAACATGGATGTGTTTGAAATACTAGCTACAAAAGCACATTCACTTCTCAATTCAATAAAATTTCACCAATTTCCTTACTCATTCTCAACTGCCACTATCACTTACAAGGCCAGATGACAGCTGTCTTAAATTATGGAAAGGTGAAACATATATAGGCACTGTTCTCAAGACACTTGTCCACAAAATAGAACCAGTGCACACACACTACCCAGACACTTTCTGAAAGCGATCAAAACTAGAACATTTGACAAAGAACAGAGTTAGCAATGCACAAAACAGCAATAACTGTTCAGAATAGCAGCAGAAATGCCAGCAAAATATCCCCTTTTGTTATCTGTTTACCAGAATTACAGGAATTTAGCCTCAATTTCTAAGAACACAAATCTGTAATATTCAACATCTCAGAATGTATCACTGGTACTCAAGCATCATAAAATACATAACAGAAGCTTACCCCACGAGGTTCCAAGAGGTGTTGGAACAACATAATCCAATACCATTACTTTCTTTCCCAAGGCAGCAGCTTCCTATAAAAGGTGGAGAAGACCAATCAGCATTACTCAACCAAGAAGGCCTGTCCAGTCATTTATGTTCATGATGCACTTAGCACTAATAGAAGGCTTCTTTACTACCTTTACTAGTTAGTCTTATTACCATATATGGCTCTTCTATCTCCTTCACTAGACAAAAGTTGAAATCCCTCAAAAACTATTACTTTCTTCCAAGCTTTGAACGTCTGCTTACAAGTTCAATGCTGCATTCAGATTATCTTATGCTGTCAAAACCCATGCATTGAAAAAGGTAAGAAATGGGCTTATGAGCCTGTGATACTCTTCTGCCTCACCCGAAGAAATATTTACTGTTAGGTCTCCTTTTCCCTTAGGAGGGCAGGACTGACTTGGCATGTTCATGGATGAGGAAATAAAAAAGTGACAGCTGAAAGCACTTCATTTCAGATGACGGATGATTCTGTATCCTAAAGTGTTAAAAGTCTTCAAGAGTAGCCCTAAAGTTTTCTAGATTACTGTTTGGAAGCATTAATGTGCCTGTGCATTACACATGAAGAGGTATTTAAACATTTGGTTCCACCCTCAGCCAGAAAACTAAAACCTATTATTATGATCAAGACCTGAATAGACACTGGCTAGAAACCGGTCCACACAGACCATTATCGCCTGAGTGAGCACCACTACTGGTTCATTAATTAACAAGCTGAATAATAATACTCATCAAAATATAGACTATTTTATAGTAATATAATTGAGAGATTAGCTTTTGAAGAAGTTTTACATATAGCCTGCTCTCTAATGCAATATTCATGTCTTACCTTGGAACATGCAAGTCCACCTGAGCCACCACCAATAATAATAAGGTCATATTCATAGGGTTCTGTATCTTTGCTATCCCCAAGAAGTTTCTGCAGTGATCCGTCCTGATAAGCCTGAGAGGGGGGGAAAAAAAAAGTCAGAACACACATTTCTGAGCAAACAGCAGCTGAGTCACATTGCCTCCTCTGACCTAGAACACCCAGTTCAATATGTCACACAAAATTTAACTATGATCAAAGAGCAAATTCACTCAGTCTTGTCTACTTCCATCTAATTTTAAAGTCAAGTTACCTGGTACGTTGCATCACAGCCACCTATGTGAGTTCCATTGACAAATACATTAGGCACTGTCCTCTGATTTGTTAACTCTGCCAACACTTGCTGAATACTGGCCCCATCATCTAAAAAAAAAAGAAACGGGTACATTACAAACAATTTCAGGAAGAGAGCTTTTAAAACAACCTGAAGTATTAAGAGTTTGGACTGTGGTACACCACAGGCCTGCCAAGAAAACAATTCTATTATAAACATCGCATTTAAGGTTTCCTGAACATAAGCAAGTCTTCAGAAACTACTTCTCAAACGAGCATGCTTAAATACAGAGGTTAAACTGGTGTTTCAAGCCATAATTCTACAGAATGAAGTTGAAGTAATGAGTTTAGTCCTTGTATTTCCTGGATTCTTATCAGTCTCTTCCTGACAGTGCCACAATTGGTACTACACAAAAATTCTTTCCCAGCTATCTCAGGAGATCACACAGACAGTTTTTCTTTCATGAGAGCTGTCTGGTTTTGGAGTATGTTCTGTATCCATGCACATAATTCTGCCCAGCAGCTCTGTATTATGAGAACACAGGAAAGAGAAGTATGAGCATGCTTTTTTACTTACCCTAAAGCTACCTTCAAACTTTTTCTACCCACCACAATGTCTTAAACTTTCCAGTTTTAAAATTATTGCTTGACCTGACCTGTCATCTGAATCATTAGTACCTACACACAGGCTCAATTTGGATGTCTTCGCAGTAAATGTGGGAATGAGCATTTACAGTAATCACTTTGACTAAAATCTTTTTATTCCAAGACCTTGTCTATTTCATATCAGTAATCTGAGAAATTGCAAGGGAAATACATTATTAATTAGGAGCAATTCCAGGGGGAAAAAAAATAAAAAAGAAAGGGTTGTGCATTATACTTCGCATATTTTGGGCTATAATTACTTCACAGTACCACAACCTGGATAAAACATAAAAACTATGAAGTGATGAATAAATACATACATTTATCCCAGGTATTGCTGAGATAAAAAACACTTCAAGAAGACATTAGAACTTAAAAAAAAATTGGAAACTTAAGTTTTGTACAGAAAAGAAATTGATAATACATATTCAACAGCTTACGAACAGTGCAACTTAAAGTTTATCAAGAATCATGCAAGAAACTACTTGTTCCTAAAACTACATTAAAACCTACATGCACTATGTACGTATATGCATGAGGCACTGCACATGTCCTAAAACTAAAGCACCTTGGACTTTAAAAAATCCCCACCTCAAACTAGAAGCAGTCAAGGTACTGGAATTTACCTTTCCTCCCAGTGACTCAGCAACTTTCCCAATGAAGGTCACCCATATACCAAGTCAAACATTAACGACTCATCTAAAGCCACAACAGAACCAGAAGCAGGAAATAATACCACAGGTTTTTTCCTAAAAGACAGAGCTCCTTGTAGAGAAATCAGACCTCACATCCTCTATCAGTTGCTCATTTTTACAGAGTCAAAACCTTCAGTCCTATTAAAAACACATCCTTTTTTAAAATCCACATTGAAGACTAATTACTTGTATCTCTGCACATATTAAAATGTATTTTAATTGGTTTTGTACATCCTCCAATTAGTTCAAGACAGCTTAAGGAATCATGCCTAGTCATCCATCTTTTAGTTACATTAAACAGCACGTGATGGATTTTCTTTCTCCCACTTACCAGTCACATCAAGTTCCAAAGCATAGTATTCCACACGCATGGAGCGGAAGAGTTCCTTCACCTGCAACACAAACAGACACGAGGGTAGTGCAAAGCTGGTTCAATATCTGACACTCAGCCCAGGGTAAAACCTGGCACACACAGGGAACCTCTCAGTCTCAGTTACTGCGCTCTGAGGGCTGGGTTCTACGTAGCTTTGCTGAAGTTTCCCATAACTTCTGTGTTTTGCACTCAAAGCCGGGCTAGTTAACCTTCCGAGACAAGTTTCATTACCTGAAGAAAAAGTTTCTACATACAATTTCCTCAGCTGCTGACTCCTGCATCCCAGACATACCAAAAGCCATGAAGTGGCTGCCATATGGAAAAACAACAAGGTTCCTTGGGAGTAATAGGGAAAAAAAAGAAAGCAAAAGAAGGGAGTAGAAGATAACATGTAAAACAAAACACTCTCAAGAAAATAAAAAAACCCACATCTGGCATTACAAAAAGCTGCAGAAAATAGTAATACTTCTTAAGTGTACCCAGCTGGGTGTTTTTCTAACCTTGGTTCTGGATGGACAGCATATACCATTACCAGATTCAAACCAGGTAGCCCTTTTAGAAATGAGATTTTTACAGTAGCATTATTTATTAAACTGTCAGTATTCAAACTGTGAACCATCTTTTCAGATGGACAATGCCATACCTCATGGCACAGGATGTAGTATTACATACAGCAGTATTTATTCCTTTGAAATATAATTTGCAGACATGTCCGTGCCAATAAATATTGTAAGACTATGCATTAAAAAAATAAATCTACTTTAATCATAACTATTTGGATGTGAAAACAGCTCTAGCAAGAATCACTAAATGCCTGTGTGATGGATCCACTTGCCAGCATGGAGTCTGAACATTTTACAACCAGCTTTCTGATGAACCTCAAATTTACTGACATTGCTTCATTAAGAGTACGTTGAGTCACAAGATTATTAGAGTGAGTTTAAAGATGTCAAGCACACGATGAATAAAAATGTTTTAAATGTTGCTGTGATCTATGCTGAAGACTGAGTACTCCAGTGCTTTCTGACGAAGTTTCAGCTTTATGCAAACAGGAAGATTTTGTATTCTGTACCAACTACACGGTGAACTTCTTACCATATCATGCATCAACCGTAACATACAAAAAATAAGCTCTGTTTGCATAATTAACTGTATTAGTTCTACAATTATAGAATAATTGAAGTTGCAAGGAACCTTTGCAGGTCATCTGTGCCAACCCCCTGCTCAAAGCAGAGCCAAAATGTGAACACTGATCACATTGCTCAAGCACTGTCCTCTCATTCTGAACATCCACAAGGACAGAGACACCAGAACACCTCTGGGCTGGTTCAGTGTTTGACCATCCTCACAGGAAAGAACTTTGATCTCATTGGATTATCTCTCACTGCAACTTATGGCCCTTATCCTTTCACTCCTCAACTCTGAGAAGCGTCTGGTCATCTTGACAGTTGAGGACAGTAACTAAAATCCCTCCTCAACCTTCTTAAAGTTCAACAAACTAAGCTCCTCCTTCACACATCCAGTGTGTGAGACACTTAGTCCTCTACCCATTTAGGTGACCTAAAAACTTTGGTCCTAAGCTCCCCATTACCTTCAGGTTTGCTTCCTGGAATGATTATGCCCACAGGCTGAATGAAAGGGAAACAGCAGTGGAACTGCTCCAGACCTCCTGCTCTGCATCTGCTGTTATTAAGCCCAAGCTGAATGCCATGAAAGATCTAAAAAGCAGAGCTTAAAGAGATTACTACTAGGATGTGGTAAGTTAAGAATCTGGAGGGAAGTCACAAAATTAGCTACTTGGCTGCTGGTCTAGTTTGCAGCAAAGCAGCAGAGTAACAGACAAGATTTCATTAGTTTGTTTTTAGGTTTTTTATTTGTTTGTTTTTTAAAAACTTTACCAAAACATTGCAACAGCAGCTGGTAAGGGGGAGGACAGGACAGAACATCAGTAGAATAAGAAAGCATTAGGCCACCTTTATTCTCTACCGAAGATATGTAGTGAAGAGGAAAAAAAAAAAATCAAACGTCAGCATTCTAATTAGAAGTAGCTACTGCACTTTATACTTATGAACACATGATACTTGTGCTAATGAAACAAAGAAAGAACAGTAACAAGCATATGAGCAGTTACAAAATCTTCAATGCAGGCAAGAGATAATAGATTACTTCAGTTTGGAAAAGGAAATGATTAGGAGTAGAAAGATAACATACACTAATCATGAGTAATATCTAGATAACGTGAACAGGAAATGATTTCTCAGAAATACTCACTGGAGCACTCAGCAACAACTGCATTTACCAGAAAACAATTCTGAAATGAAAAGGAAGTAAACCTCCCTGTGGAACACAACCAGAGAACTTACTCCCAACTGACACTGTAAAAGGTAAAAGCCAAAATTAAAGATGAAAGGAGCTATTAGACCAAATAATGAAAAAAAAAAAATCCACTGAAAACTTTTAACTCAATAAAACTAATACAAACTCAGGTCAAGAAATTCCTGAGTCACACATTGCTGGAAACTCCAGCAGCATACAGGCAGATTTTCTTCCATATAGCCCAATTCTAAAACTATAATTTCTCCAAGTGTCTGGAATAAAACACTAGGTTGCATACAACCATTTGCTTCCCTTCTCACCAATGCAATGCTCATCTACCTACTAAACTCCTCTAGTTTTCACAAAAAGTGATAGCCTAGAAACTCTTCCAAATATTATTAAACAGTAGATAATTTCTCTGAAACTGAGCAATTGGTCTAACTTTAGAAAACTCTTCCTGGAGATGCTGTCACTAGGGTAGCTCAGCAGGTTTGAAATAAGCTTCATACCATAAAAGTAGTAATGGTATGTCCTAAGTCTGCTGTTTCACATATTAGCTAACATTCCATAATAGCTACAGCTGAATTGACCAGAACCCCCTGAGGACTGAGAACATAATCTGTAATAGCATAAAATATCACTAAAATAAACAGCAACTTCTATGTAATCACAGTTGTTGCTCCTCAAATTTCAACATAGCACAGTGTTCGGACTTGCCATTTTTTCATGCTAAAAAATCCCTGTGTTTTCTTTATGCATTTCTATCTTGCTTAATATCTTTTTTGGGTGCTAAGAAATTAAAGAACAGCCAAGTTGTTATGACAAGCAAGCAACTCTACCCCTACACCGCTGTCTTCTTTAAGCAACTGAACAACAAATTGCATTTGCAGAAGAACAACTGCACAATTGGCAAGTCATGCTACTAGCTAAACTGAATACAATCAACTACTTAATTCACTTATAGAATTTATTTGCAGGGCTGTTTCTGAAGAAAAGCACAATCTTAATTTTCTTCCAGCATAGCTACCTCCATCTGAAATATCGAATTCTTTCCATCCCCCAAATTAGGTCCTTTTTTGAAAGCATCAGCGTTCTCTGCACTTGTGCTAATCATCTTCAGTTTTTTCAATTAATCCTACCAAAAGCACACTGCTAACAGCCATCCACAGTAAAAGACAGACACAAAGCACACTATTCATATCTGTCTTTAAGAACTCAGAACTATGTGATTACAGGCTAAGCACCCGAGCTGTAACTACACTTTCAAATTATGTCCACTTCATGAATTCTACAGACTTGATCAGCTAGCAAGAATGCTGCATCACCCATTGTTTTCCCATCCCTTTTACTAATTTCTAACTCTTCAGTGGGAGTTGTTAATACCCATAATGCTGCAGATATTTCTATTTTATCACTTGATGTCTCACGTGAGGCTTCCATCTCTCAATCTTTCTTCTTCTGATTCTCTGTCTGCAATCTACACCTCTGCTACAAATTTTCTTCATTATCTTACCTTTCTTTTCCACTCCAAACAAGAAAATAAGCCAAGGAAATCTGCCTACTAGAGCAATCAGCTCCTCTTCCCTCAGCCCCATTTGTCACCTGTTCCTTCTGAAAAATTCATACAGGGTCTTTCAACTCTACCTCCTAGAAAAGGCCATGAGAGAGGGCCCTCCTACTCGCAATATTCATTCTTCCCCTTTGCAAGACAATAAAGATAATATTCCTCATATCTGACTGCTTCCCTGAAGCAAATAATCCTGCCTAATGGAGAAGATCTGAACAGGAAAAAACAATCTGGAATTTAATTAGTACAATCAAGTCTTTTTTTTCCCCCCTCAAGCTCATTGCCTTAGTCTAGACATACAGCAACACCATTAACAGACGAAGGAAAAAGGCACAAGGCTTAAAAAGTTACTGTGCCATTGTATGATCTCAAAACCACTGGACTGGGTGTCAGGAGCATCAAGACTTGCAATCATGATCAGTAAAAGCAAACAGGGCAATACAGACAAGAACAACTAAGTATTTCTAAATGCGCAGCACTGAAGTCCTCAAAAAGAGGATTTCTCCGCAACAGAAGGTAACATTTTTGTCAACTGGACTAGAGTGGAGCAAGATTCCAACCCTTCATTTACCAAAACTTCTAGCGAATAAATTGTTAAGTAAATTTTAGAAGTATTTGAGCTGCCTAATGTGCTGTACTATCTGCCAAAACATAGTTAGAGAGGAGGCGTTGGTTTTGTCTATCTTCTCATACACAGAAGCTTCCTTTCCCAAAACCTCAATTAAGTTTTAAGTGAGATACAATATACTCATGTAAGATTTTTACAAGAGGGTCATAACATCTCCTCCCCCACAAGAGCTCCCGGAACTAAACCCAACCTACACGTGGGAGTGAGGCTTCACAGTATTTTCCTGGTTGTCAGTTCCACTGAGGAACACCAGGACTCGATCCCACAGTTCCAATTATGTTTTTCCACCACGGCCACATGAAATATGGCAGTGTGGGGTTTAACTAAAATTTCATTAACATGCTCTTTATAAACATCTAAGAATCCCAATGCCTACAAACACCCACATTCTGTATGGTCCCTCCACTGTGTTGGTATTGTAAAATTCTAATGAAGGCCTTGGGGTTTTTTTTAATGACTCTGGCTCAGAAGTTACAGCCACACTGTGATACTGATGCACAACCAGAGCCAAAAAGATATTTTTCTCTAAAAAACACAACTAACCAAGAGTGCCTTTAAAACAAACAAACAAACAACAAAAAAATCCAAACAAACCCACACACAATATATAGAGAATTTAGAACTTAACCTTGCTATAAAGTCAACCTTCTCCCTGAAATTTAGAAAGAGCAGAAAACTTAACCCTCCCCTGGGACGCCGCTTTGTCCAAGCTGAATACCAACGTGGTACTCAAACTTCCAGGGAGAAAGGAACGCATGCAGCACCCTGAGCCTTGAGCAGCAGCTACAGAAGCTGATCAGAACTCTCCACACATCCCATCTACCCGCGTGGCAAAGAGAAAACAACTACCAAGGACGCCAGTTCGGGTCTTTGCCTCGTTTCACGCCCGGTACGCGGTTTCCAAGGGCTGGCACGTGGTGCTCCAGAGGGATGGGCACAGCGCTCCAAACCCCATCCCCACACCGCCTGAGCTTAGCCCCGCTCCCCTGCGCCCTTCCCTGTCCGGGGCAGAGGTGTCCCGACGAACCCCCCGGAGGAAGGAGGGCCCGCGGGGGGACCGCGCCGAGCCCGCTCCCGCTCCCGCTGCCGCCTCACCTTGTTGCAGTACGGGCAGTAGCTCTTGCTGAAGATCATGACGCGGTGGGAGGCGATGAGGGTCCGCACGCGGAGCTTCAGCCCGTCCCAGTCGGGGAGCGGGGTCTGTCCGGGCGGTGGGGCCATGGCGTGGCCGGCTCGGGCGGGCAGCGGCGGCGCCTTCCCCGCGGCGGCCGCGATGACCCTCGGCCGCGCCCCGCCCCTTCCGCGGCGGGCGGGGCAACGGGCCGGGCCGACCCACCCACAGGGAGCGGGGGAGAGCAACACGCCGAGAAGGACTTTCCCCCCACCTTGCATTTCAGCCACATTCTCTATGAGTCGTTGTAAAGTAATAAAAGTAATTTTGTAGCAGAAGTAGAAGCGCTACCGCTCCCCTAAAGGGGCCGCAGGGAGTGATAAACTTGCGCTGTTTAAGCCGCCCTCCCCTCTGCAACAAATGGAATGAGCCAGCAGGGGGGAGGCGGGAGCGCGCATGAGCGGGGCAGTGCCGGGCTGGGCCCAGGGCGGTGCAGGGCGGGGCGGGGCGGGGCGGCCGCGGGTCCGGGAAAAGCTCAATGTGTCTGCGGGGCTGCGGAGAGGGGTCAGTGCCGGCGGGGACAGCCGGGAGCTGGGGCTGGCACGGGGGTCATTCTTTCCCACATCACGGACCCATCGCCCCGTGGCCTGGCCTGGAACAATCGGCGACCGCCGCCCCAGGGCCGCCGGGCTTGTCCTCTTTCGGTGTCCTCTGAATTAGGGCGAAGTCTGGGAGATAAAAGCTGCTTTTTATAAGGAGGGAGGAGCGTTCCTCGTCTGCCTTCACCTGCCCCTTGGGTGTCCTCTGCACACGGAGGACAACGAGGACAGATGGAGCGTCTACTGTAATAAAATGGATTATGGCTTGAGAACACAAGTCAACAGAAACAAGTTCCCTTTTTTTACACATTCCGCCGTTAAGGGAAGGGGATGCTGAAGTATCTGGTACTGCTTATTGCAGACTGTTCTCTTCCCAAGAACCCCAGTAATTGTCCGGACCGAAAGCTGGAAGGGGATGTTTCCTGGCCAGAACAATGGAAAGATCCCGTATCAGGGCACAGAGCAGGAGGAATCCTGTCTGGTGACTGCCCTGCTTCGGCAGGGTTTTGGCTGGGGAGTGCCGGGCAGGGTACCGAGGTCCCAAGAACTCGGTCATCTCCCTGCAGAGCAGCCCCGTGTTTTCCGATTGCTGCAACAGCTTTCTGTGAGCAATCGTAAGGGGTTGTCCTGGTGCAACATCTAAGAACTTCGCTAATGGTAGTAAATCAAATCTTGCAACCTGCTGAGTGACAGGAATTATTTTCCGTAGGTGAGGAAATCACAGAGATAAGTGATTTCGTAAGGTTCAATAGAAGTTTCTAACAAAGCAGGAGGTAATGAAGTCCAGTGCTCCCTCCCACGCCTGCCACAGACCTGCCCTACTGCTATTTATTAATGCTAAAAATAACTACATATAAAAGCTGTAATGCCACCAGTGATGAAAATGGGCCTAGTGGGAGACAATTAACTTGCTTAAATCATTTTTGATCACGTGTATGTATGGTGTTCACTGCACAGTGAGCTTGAAAAATTGTATATTGCATTTATTTGAATGTTGGCCATGAAAGAGTTCTAGACTAAGAGTGTTTATACACTCCCCACAGAGAAAAATAAGCCCAAGTTTTTCAGCTTTTTATTGCAGTATCAGCATGTAGGAAAGTGGATACAGTACCTGCAGCTGCTAAGATTTGACATAACATGCAGTGGCCAGACCTACTCATTGTACTTTGTTCATACTCCAGTCAAAACTGCTTGTTTGGTTCCCAGCTTTGGCTAATTCTTCTCTCTCCCTCTCAGACTCTGTGTGAGAAACATTGCTACCCTTAGTATTTTTACAGGAATTAATATCACAATCTCAAAGGTTTGTACCACTGTCTGAAAGTTGGTAGGTTTTCATATTAAACTCGGTCTGCTTTCTCCAACATAAACATCCATCAGCTCCAGAAAGGTCAGAGAAAGGAATAAATATTAGAAATATCTTTTTCTTTTGGCACACTCAACACTGATGGCAATGTGCCTAGTTCCATCAGGAATAAATATCCCAGGCAAATTATGCCACTTGAGGGTTCATTTTCCCCTCTGTGCGCTCTCTGCTGTTGGTTATTATTATCACTGTTACCTTGGAGCAAGAATGGGGTAATGGTTTTAAAGTAAAGGAGGGTAGATCCAGATAGATATGAGGAAGAATTTTTTTACAAGGAAGGTGGTGAAACAGGTTGCGCAGAGAAGTGGTAGGTGCCCCATCCCTGGAAACATTCCAGCTCAGGCTGGATGGGCCTCTGATCAACCTGATCTAGTTAAAGATGTTCCTACTCATTGCAGGAGCATTGAAGCAGATGAGCTTTAAGGGTCCCTTCAAACCCAAACCATTCTGTAGTTACATGATTCTGTGAAGAATGGGTGGGGGTACAGGGTCAACTTGCAACACAGATGGGTGATATGGAAGCACTGTGATGGCAATATATTGCTGACCTTTGCTTTCAATCACTGTAGGTGGTTGAGAGAAAAGGAAAGGATTGAACTCAGGAGAAAGAAGAGAGAAAATGACTGCTTGGTTCTAGAGATGAAGGGACCGCCACAGTAGTGTCCTACCTGTGCACCCCAAGAGCTTATAATGGCTCTGATTATCTTACCAGACTAGGCCCTGAATCTGTCTTCTGAATCTGTGAGTTTTTTTCTCCCGCAGAATGCCAGATCATACTCAGCTCTAGGAATCTTACTCTTCAAGTGTGCTGGGAATCGATGTAAGGGGTTGACTAGAGCTGTTTAGGCAACCATTCCACTCTCTAGGAAACTGCGTCAAAATACTTGAAACAGCAGAAATGCTACAAACATTTATGAATGAAGTGGTTTGCAAGAAGAGATTTTGAGGAAGGGGCAAAGAGGCCTGTGGAAAAACCCCAGGAAATTGTTTCAAGCATAGAACTGTGAAAGACTTGTTTAATAAAGGTTTAAGCATGCTTGCTTGAACTGTGGCTCCCTGCAGGCCAGTCAGCAGCTGTACAAAGCTTCCCCACCTTCCACATAAAAGGCCTTGGTCTGCTTTCCTTAATATGAACTCTCTCATTAAGACAGTCCTCTCCTAGGCATTACTCAGCTTAGTCTGAGGATTAGTAAAAACCAAGCCACATAAAATAATTCATAATGATGTAGCATTGTGTGCTATGGGAAGGCATTGAGGTAGAAATGGGTATGGGAAATTTGAATAGAATAGAATAGAATAGAATAGAATAGAATAGAATAGAATAGAATAGAATAGAATAGAATGAAATATGCAATATTTCCGCAGCTGTTACACAGGACTAGAGGGCTCTTGGCATTGTAAAGATCTGATCTCACACTTAAAAGGGTAAAGCTACACACCATTCTGAAAAACACAGAGTAAGGCAATCTCTCCATTAAAAAAAAAGGCTGCAAAAGACAAGTTGATGCAGACAGCAGATGTTGGAAGCATTTCTAAATGAAGTTGTTTGCAAGAAGATATTTGGAGGAAAGAGCAAATGGCTGGTAGAAAAGAACCAGAGAAGTATTTTAAACATAATAGCATGAAAATCTTTAGCCATCCTTTTGCCTAAAATTAAATTAATTTTTCGCCTTGGCTTGCTGCCCTTCCTCGGGTGCATTCAAATAGCCATGAGCCCTGATGCTGCTGAAGGGAGTCAATTTAACAGTGAAGAAGAATCAGAGAGTTCCCTCCAGCCATATCCCTTTGTTCCCTGACACAGTCTTCATGTCACAGGACAGGAAAAGAAAGAGCATGACCTATCTCCATTTTTATATTCCATTGAGGGTCTATGAAGGGTATTCTCTAAGGTTGCTGCCTCTTTATATATCTAGAATGCAGCTAAGAAAGAGTAGAGAATGTGTCTAAAAGATCAAGAGGGTGACAAAAGGCCTAAACCGTGGCCTCAGTCTTTCTCACATTATTCCGATGCCTTCACTGATCTTCGGGGAACTTAGTCCCTCTCCACCAGGAGGGGAATAAATGTACTGCATTTTCAAACTGCATTTCCTATTTTGGAGGAGGAGCTCCAGATCTCCCCAAAGCCACAAGTATTTCATGGGTAGAAAGAAGAGACGCTGCTTATTTCTTCAGAAAAAAAAGATAACGACTTTCTCTCCTTGAATTACCACAGAAATTGGTCATAAGCCAGGAGACAGCCAAAGTCCTTAGCCATGAGCATGGTTACGCCCTTTGTCAACACTGACAATGGAGAGTCATTGGAGCCTGAGCCATGCTGGAGGCTGATTTGTTAGCCAGTCATTCAAGTGACATGTGGATGGCCTGCAGCTCAGAGTTCATGGATTAGTGTTCGTGGCAAACGATATCAAAAGTCTTCTGGCACATTCACAAATTTTGGCACTGTTAAGTATATTACTGTCAGCTCATTGGAGTGCTGATGGTGCACATACAGCAGAGCGTGTAATAACCCTGAGCTCCAGTTCTGAGAGAGGGAGAGCCTTTCAGATCACACGAGACTTTGGCCAGGGAGCGAGGGAGAAGAGCTCGGGGAGAAACCTAAAGAAAGAGGAAAATAAGCTCTTCAGCTGAGTGGCAGCACTCTCCAGGAAGGGCTGGGCAGAGCAATAATTTCTGTTAACAGTGGTATAACTAAAATACAGCGAGCATACACACAGAAGAGGGCAATCATATCTTCATTGTTGTAAAGATTCAACATCCCTCCCAGAAAAGCTTGTATGGACAGTGGTGGAGCATTGGAATGAGGCCTGGATGTTAGCTGCTAGTGAGAAGTCAATGGGGGGAGCTCAAGACCCACCAGGAATAATTTTCCTTCAAGATCTTGAATAAACAATGAGAAGCCGTTGTGCTCCTTTTTGAAAGGCATCACAAACAAGGGAGTTAAAATGAAATAATCAAAGTGGAAGAGTTAGGACCTGCATCTGTTAATGATGTACACATGCATTTTTTGCGTGCAAAACTCATGCCTGTGAAGTTGTAAAAGACAGAGTGGGTGCTTGAAGTTCACTTTCCTGGTTTTGCAAACCATCTGCTAGTTTGTGCCTGCAAGTGAGAGATGACTGTATATCTACTTTTCTGCAGACATGATGTTGATAGTCCTCCGTTTCAAAATTTGGCTCCAGTACACTGCTGAATGTGTCTCACCT